AGGGATCCCTGGTAACATCTCTGACGGCCAAGATCTCCCAAACTGACAAAAATGCGCAAGGATAAAGGTACGAACACCGTCTTTACCATGCAAAAGAAGAAGGGTTTGCATCTAACCCTTCACTCCCCCAGCTGTCGGCCAGTCTGAGAGCATGAATAAAGGCTATGCTCAGTTTATACTCACTGAAGAGCGTTGCAGTCGGACCTAACGGGGTCTTTTGCAGGCTACAGCAGTCACATGCCTCACTGCTTTCCTCCCAGTGACAGCATTTCCCCTTCGTTACAGCTTCACTGAAGTGCACAACGACACCTGCAAAGCCTTTTACAGCCTGGCTTCCCAAGGAAACCTCAACCTGCTGCCACGTGGATCTGCCCAAAGGACCCAGCTCCTGACCAATGCCCTAGCCTGCCTGGTAAGCTGCATTTGCTTTTAAAGTGCATCCTCTCCGTGCCCTAGCTGCACCACTCCATCCATCTCCCAGAGCAGATTCAGCGTACTTCATTGCCGTCCCCTTCCAAATATTCTTCATGAGCATTATGGGCCAGGTATTAGCACCGTCATAAATGATCCCCTCCACCCTGTTGGCCGGGTGAACTCAGGAAAGGAGCTGAATAACCAACTCCAAAACCCATCTGCAAAATGGCTTGAGGTGCCCCTCTGACCCTTGCTCTTGGGGTGGTTTCTATCAGGCTCCTAAACCCCTACTGCACGGTCCTCTCCCCCAGGAAGTAGAGAACACCACCCTCAGCAAGGAGCAGCTCGGCAGGCTGGGTGCTTTGGTGTGTGACATGGACACTGCAGCCATCGCAGACTCCCACCCTCGGATCCTGGAGAATTTAAAGCTCTGTCCAGCTCTGACAGAGGCCCAACAGACTGCCCTCAACGTCCTCCTCGGCAGTGGGGAGAGCCAGTACGGGTAGGCACAGCTCCTCTGGCTGTCGTGGAGGCTGAGAGCAGCCCCGATGCAGTGGGATCTTCTTGCCTGGGGTCTTCCGTGAAGGCACTCAACTTTGCTTTCCCCGATCTGGTGCAGGGATCCTTCGTCCTGGGATTTAGCAAGTTTGCAGAAACTTGGGCCGCTTGCTGTGTATGTGAACCAGACCACGTGGAGCTCAGTGAACGTGGTAGGTTATCCCCCCGCAAGGAGCCCTGGGTGGGCTCAGTCCACCCTCTTGGGCAGCTGGGACTTGCTTCTGGGTTGAATATTATATATATCTATATATATGTGTGTGATATATAGATAGATATACACACACACATACATATATATTGCATATATGCATATAGATATATGCATATACATATGCATATATGTATATATGTGTATGCATCTGTATATATGCATATGCATATACGTAACATGCATATGCATATATATCTACATCTATATCTATATATATATATATATGGATATATATATATATAGATAGATAGATAGATAGATAGATATAGATATATATGCATATGTATATGCATATGCATATATATCTATATATATAGATATATAGATCTATATCTATCTATCTCTATATATGCATATGCATATATATATGCGTATAAAAGTGTGTGTTATTATAGAGCTGCCTGCTGGAAAATCCTTTTGTGCACAGCAGATCCTTTGTCTTTCTCTCCTCCTATCCCTGTTCCCTTCATTCAACTCAGCACCAGGATCCTCTCTTCCTTCAGCCCCATCTTAGCATCACCACCCTCTCCTGTTTGCCTCTCCGCCTGCGCGCGATCCCAAGCCAGCTGAAGTTGGTGCTTTAAATTTCCCATCACTTAAATGATTTTGCTGAGGCCTCAGGGTTATTTCCTGTTTCACTCTAAGCTTCCCGCAACCTCCTTCTCCCTCAGGACGTGAGAAGGGCCTTCTTCAAGAGCGTGGTCGCTGGGTACCAAAGCCAAAGTGCGTCTCAGAAAAAGAAAGCCGTGCTCCTCTTGAAATCTCTTGGAGTTATGTCGTCTTCATCTCGCAGGCCTAAACGTGCCCCGCAAGGTACGTGGGGCGCTGGGTGGATCACTGGTTTGGATCAATTAAAATAATCATTCAAAGGCACTGGGACAACAGGTTCAAAAGCATCAATATGGCTTAAGAGCCTGCGCCCCGTTCCCAGAGCTCTCTGATCTTCTAGGGCCAGCAAACCTGCGGTGCAGATATGTAGGGAACTGGGGAATAGGGCTCCCCATTTCCAACAGGGCTGGAAAGGAGCAGAAGTCCTCGAGGTGTCCGTTTAGCCTCAGGAAGTGCAGCACCAAGGCAATGGTGGGAAAGAAGTAAAGTCCTTATTTCTCACTGCAAAAAAAGCCAGTAGTGGCAGGAGACCCTGAGAGGGAAATGCTGTAGTTTCTAGCAGGTCATCTGTGGGATGGGCTGGTAACAATTTCTCCCCTACAGAAAAAAATCTCCTTAAATTTAACCAGGAGAAGCCATTAGTGTTTTATTGAAACATAATAGGATCCTACTGATATCATTACAACGCCTACTGATCAGAGTGCCTGGACCATTTTTAAGAACTAGGATTTGGTAGCCAGGAGGTCATTCACAATCCACTTTTATCAAAAATTGTTTGCAAAAACTTTCTGGAATGGCTGTGACCCCCAAATAAATCTCCTGAGCTCTCCCTATAAGGTACTGTAGTGATGGGAGGGAGGAAGGAAGACGAGCGTGTTTGCTAACGGACCCTTTCTGCCCATTATACTTTGCAAACAGCGTGCATGTCTGAAGCCATCACTGCCGAAACCATCCTTGACCCCCTGTTCCTGGTGTCTTACACCTCTACCGAGCAGTTTGATGCGTGCTTGAGTAACGAGGTTTTGAAAGACAACCTGGTCCCTTTGCTGGAGCAGCCCCTCACCGAGGAGCAGCTCGATGTCCTAAAGCGGAAATTTGGCGAGGTAATGATGGACATCATGGGATAAAACGGCGCTGTGCTGCTGAGGGCCAAGATGGCCTGGGTCCTTCTCAGTCCCACGTCTGTGGGTGAACACGTGTTGCAGGGAAGGGTTTCTGACCTCAGCTCTGCATAGGGTTGCCAACTCTGTTTGAATCTCATCTGGGAGGTATCCGAAACACCAACATGCCCACGACACATGATGCTCGCGTGCTTGCACATATCGGTTACGGTCATGCACACGTATATGCACGTGTGCTCCCACACCTGCGTTCAGCATGTTGGATGCACCGTGACTAGAGGTAGTCAAGAGATGCTCTCATATATGCACATATAGTTATGCGCATTGCTACGACATTTTCAAAACCCACTGGGCTACTGTATAAATCGGATGCAACATTTAATATTATTTTAATGAATGCCCTATCGTTTATCTCCCGGGTGACTCTCAGCAGTCTCCTGGAGATTTAGATCTAATTCCTGGAGGGTCGGCAACCTGGTGCATGCAGCAAGAGAGGCAGTAGGGTTGCCTTGCAATGCGATACTCCTTTCTGCATCGTGAAATGCTGCGGCTAAGGTCGGGTGGTGGCTGGGAGAGCTGGAGGAGCAGCTCAAACCATTCTGTGCATAGGCACACACACTTCTCAGGCCTGCTCCCTGAGGGGCAAGTCTTTGCTGCAAAGAAAATAACGAGATCCGCTCATCCCGCACCCAAAGCACTCGCACTGTCACACGGTTTGAGCTATCCCAACAACCATCAGGGAGGTGACGCAGAGCCAGTTTGAGAGCAGAGCATCTGAGTTTGGATCGGGATGGTTTGAATGGGTAAAGATCCGTCTCCCACGCCTGCGTTCAGCATGTGGGATGCACCATGACTAGAGGTGGACGAGAGATGCTCTTATATAAAAGCTTGCCATGAAAAGCCAAGTCAGTGATACGGCAGAGGGACAAGCAACGTGGGGGAGGCAGCAGGGCAGCAGTGATTATAAAAAGGGAGTCAAAGCCAAAGGGTATTGTATCTTGTGATAGGAGACAAGCAATCACCACTTTGCTGCAGCTGGAATTAACCTTGTGCTCCTCGTTATTGCTCTTGATATCCCCGTCTATCGCGAATCCAGCTGTTAAGCCCATTCATTGATTCCCCTGCAGCTGGAATTAACCTCGTGCTCCTCACTATTGCTTTTGATATCCCCATCTATCGCGAATCCAGCTGTTAAGCCCATTCATTGAGTCCCCTGCAGCTGGAATTAACTTTGTGCTCCTCGTTATTGCTCTTGATATCCCCGTCTATCGTGAATCCAGCTGTTAAGCCCATTCATTGATTCCTCTGTCACTAATGACTCAGTCTGACCCTTTCAGATTTACCCCGATGGGATCCCAGAGGACCAGCTAAAACTCTTCAGCTTGTTATCACGCCGCTACACCGCGAGCGAGATCAGCAAGTGGGCGGTGACGTCCAGTGAAACCCTCATGGCTCTGCTGGACCCGGAGGCCGGGAGCTGGGGGGAAGCCGAGGTAATTGTGCTGGTGGGAGCTAACGAAGGGATAGTGGCAGTAGGTCAATACCTTGTGACCCAGGACCAGTAGAGATGAGGGGAGTGAGCAGGGCTAAATTATGGAAGGCCATTACAGGGTGGGGTATTCTGTGCCGGCAGAGGTGAGATCTCTCACCTGGAGATTTTCTGCTAGCCTCCGCCCTACAGCAATTCAGATCCCCTCTCCCCACGATGAGCACAGCCCAAACATCAAACAACACGAGAGTCTCTTTTTACTGCCCCTAAATACATTCACTGCCTTTCATTCTGCTTCCTAGGTCAAACAGCTGGTCGCCAGATACATGGACCTGGGTGGCAACTTAACGGGACCCTTGCTCCGGCATACCGAGGGCGAAGTGCTGTGCGACCTGTCTGATGAGCAGATTAAAACAATAAGCCCAGAAGCAATTGGGTAAACCGCCTTTACAAAGGGAAGGGGTGCTTATATGTCATGAGTCAATGGTTAGAGCAGTGCTAGGCAGGTCTCCGCGCACTGCACCCCTCCTGGAATTGGAAGCCAGTGCCACAGGGGAGAAATATTTCAAGTTATTTTAGGGCAGCGAGCTTCCTGGAAAACAGCCGCTCTGAAGCGACCTTGGGGAAGCAATTAAATGCATGCTTGTAGCGTGAGGAGGCAGCAGGAGAAGCTAATGCAATTTAAAGCTGCGCAGAATCATTGCTTTGCGGAGATCAGGCTCAGCCACGCCGGGAGAAGCCCGCGGATAATATCCTAGGATGCATGGGGCCACTTGGCTTGCAACATTTAGGGCTAGGATGTGAATCCCCCATTCATTTAGCAGTGGAGCTTGGGAGCATTCAATTCAGTCTTCCCAAGATTGGGCTTTTGTGTCCCTGTGGATTTCTAATTGCTTCCTGTTCCTCTAGGAGTGCTGGAAAATTAGACATTTCTTCCTGTTCACAAGCCAAGAAAGACCAGCTCTATGCCAAAGCCCGTGATGCATTTGCTAGCCAGAAAGGAACCAGTGCTTATTACCCTTTAATCCAACCCTATCTAGGTAGGTATTTAAACCTTTGCCTTTCTTGGGCTCCAGTGTGGCGGATGCAGTACTGCATGCAGTGCCGGCACTTGGTGACCCTCCTACAGCAAAAGCTGGTGTTTGCTGCTTTGAAAAGGAGGTTGCATTTTTACATTTATTTTTATGAAGGTGGGGCTCCAGTGAAGGACCTGGAAGACCTGGCCAAATCTGACGTTGCCATGGATATCAACACATTTACTGCCTTAAACCCTGATGAGCTGCAGGTACGTTACCAAATAGGTTGGACTCTTCTAATCAGCAGCATTAGGCGCTCCAGAACGTTTGCTACAAGAGGTAGCAGACACACCTTAATATCAGTGGTGGGTCCATCCACGGGAGACTGCAGAGGAGCAGATGGAGCGAGGGATTAGCAATGAGGGGTCATTTGTATTATTATTTGTTTTTATGCCTATTGCATCTTAGCCACAAGCAAAATACTTTGCAAGTTTTCTGTCCCATGGAAGCTGCAAACTGAGTAGACAGGGTAGGCAAAATTCATTGGGAAAAGGCTGAACAAGTAGGCTAGCATGCAGTAGTTTCGGGGTCACTAATGGGTCAGAATTGGTTGGGCAGGATTTGCGATTCCATATTTTTAATAGAGTTTTTTTTAAAGGAAGTTATTCCCCCGTCAGTAATCGCATTAGGAAGATAAGCCTCTGGTAGCATCAGCTGATGAGGAAGGTGAACAGCAATGTCATGACTGTGTTGCAGAAACTCAGCGTCCAGGACGTGAAGAATTTGCTGGGTGTAAACCTTCCCTCTCTAAAGCAAGCTGAAAATCATCCAGCCGTGGCCAACTGGACCAAGACTCAGTACCAGTCAGAACTGGACAGGATCCTGGGAATCGGTTTGCAGGGCGGGATGCCAGATCCAATCTCAACAGCAACGAGCATCGCTAGTATTGTAATCCCTAATGACACCACTACCCCCACAGCTACCTCCTCCAATACCACCCCCCCAGCCGCTACCCCCCCCAGCACCAGTGTCTCAAGAGCAGTCATCAACCCCACGGTCTTTATCCATAATGCCACCACCCCCCCGCCTGCTATCAACCAAACTCTGACCACCCCCAGCACCACCCCATCTACTACCACCATCCCCGACACCAACACCGCGACTGCCATGATCAACCAAACTGCCAACACCCCCAAGACAACCACACCAGCTGCTGTTATCAACCAAACAGCCAACACCCCCATGCCAACAGCCATTATGCACCACGCCATCAACACCACCACCCCAGCTGCTATTACCGACCCAACTGCCAACACCCGCGACCCCACCACGACTGCTATTATTGGCCACGCTACCAACATCACTCCGAATCGGGTCATCAGTGAAACAGTCACTGCCTCTAACACCACCTCTGTTACCGCAACTGCTGTGAACACCCCCAACGCCACCACCCCAAGTGCCGTTGCCTCTAATGTCACCACCTTGACCCCCGACACCACCACTCCTGGTCCCCATATTGCTAACATCACTTCTAACACTACCACCGCAGCTCCTGTTGATACTACTGCCATCACCCACAACACATCTACCCATCACCCATCACCCATCATGCCCACTTCCCCCACAACTACCTCAAATGCCACCGCTCCACCTCCCATTATCTTCACATTCACTACTAGCACTACACCGTTGACTGTCAAGCCAACCATTACCTCAACAGTGCCCAGTCCCACCACCCCTAGAAACACTGCCCACCCCCCAACAACTGCCACGACATCTGCCACAACCACGGTCACCACCCCAAGGCCCAATAAGACAACATCAACCAAGACAACGCAGCCAACGAAGCCAACACCCGTGGGATTCATCAATCTTAAACCGGTAACCAGTACGTATCTGTAAAAGGCACTAAACTTCTTAAGAACAGCCCTGGGGATAATATATTCATGGATGAGCACTAGTCTTTTGAGCCTCTTGATGGTCAGAAGCAGGATGGACATCCTGTTATTAGGAAAGGAGCCTGTTACGGGTGATACCAGGTGATAAACCAGTGCCAGGTATAATTTTGTTGGGTTTTAATTGTGCCCTCAATCAACACCTAACAAACACCTTCCATACTGGCCATGGAGCAGTCTCAGATGGTATTAGTAAGTGTACATGGGTAGATATTCAGGGTGGGTGGGATGAAGACCAGAGAACTGAAATGGAAAGTGCTGTGACTTTTGCAGGACAATGAGCATTTTATGGCCTTGAAGGATGCAGTTCAAGTGCAGGCAGGTGAAGCATACCTGCTTGCATTTGAAGGATGCTGTTCAAATGCAGTATACTTCACCTGCCTGCATTTGAACAGCCTCCTTAAAGGCCATAAAATGCTCTATTGTCCTTTAATGTAAGGGGGCACCTCCTCTCTCAGTCTTAGATGCTGCATTAAATGCATGGATTAGGTTCTCTTTTCCTCAAGTATATGCAAGAAGAGACTCCGTCTCTCAGTTCAGTATAGCTCGTAGATGGACTGTAACTGGGTGGGCAGTGCTGTGGATGAACAGGCAAGAATATGGACCAAAGGCCACTGTTTCCCTATGTGTCTTCAGAAATGTCTGAGCCCCATGACCACACTATTGCCCTAACGACCCATTTGGGAGCTCACGTGCTACCACATTGATAACCCAAGCCTTTCTGCTTTGTATTCTTTCCTTCCAGCATCAGGAGCGAACCTGTCTTTCAGTCAGCTGCACATGCTGTCCCTGACCATTGGGATCTTCTTGCTGAGAAGATTTCTCTAATGCCATCAGCACAAACATGGCCTTTATGGTATTCCTCCTTTCATTTTTCACTGGCCCCCAAAAGAGCTGAGATGCAGGCATCGTATTCCCTCCCAGGTGGCAGAGATCCCACTTTGCAGCACATGTGGGAGCTACACGAAGCTGCCAGGACCACATTCCCCGGAGGCAGTGCAATGATCCTGACGGGACAATTAGATATTAAGATGTCACTACTGTTGCTCAGACTTTTAGAATAAGTTTCACATTCAAAGGACAGAGCTGTACGCAAGGACCTGGAGCGGCAGCTGCAAACTACTCCGGATGTACATACTTCAGGGGTATTTGCCCCGTCCCTCCGATGGATTCAAACAGCTTTCTCTCGGCAGCAGGCCTGAACTAAATCCTCCCTAAGGAGCAGCGTCTGCCCGTGCATCCATTCAGTGCAGCAAAATCCAGATGATCCATGGGGTTAGGCGCCTCCATACCTACTATGATGAGGGCGTGCAAACCAACGGGGCCTCCAAACAGCTGTGGAGGCCCACCAAGGTGCCCCTGATGACCAAAAAAGTAGTACCCTTGGCAGGCGAATCTGTTGAAATGGCTGCATGACTGAGGTCTAATGCCCCCATTACAACCAACAGGATACCTTCACTTTCTAGGGTCTTTTATCGCCTGGAGACCAGTGCCATGCTATGGATAATGGACCCTTATTCACAATGCAGATTCAGTTCCAAAATACTTTCAGACTGTGAGACCTGAAAACACCCGGCACCTCTATATGATCAACAAATGATGACGAGCCATTAGTAGTACCATCGTTTGATTTGGCGATGACAGTAGACCCAATTCTGCCCCACACAGGCCCATCGAGTAGTACCGTACTCGTTACCAGCCCCAGGGGATTCATCTCAGCTGAATTTGGTTTCACTGCCAGGGTTTAAAGGTATCGATCACTGTTGAAGGATCAGTTTGGTCTGCTCTTCTTGAGTCATGTAGTGTAGCTGGCAGTAGGTTACTCTAGAAATCTGGTTGCTGCCTTCACCCTGCTTTACTTTGGATGTAGGAGAGGTCTCTAGATTGGGATTTGTTCCAGCCATGCCAAAGCCATTTACGGAAAACAGGGTATGTGGGTTATCACATTAATGCTACATAACGAACATCAAAGTATTTTTTATTTTCCCCAGATGTTCCTGGGCGCGTATAGTTCTGTCTTGCTGTCTGTTTGAATAAAATACAACAGTTCCTCTCCTTTCTTGTTTCCGTTTTTTGCACCTCTTCGGAAGTGCCCATGCTGTTTCCATACACGTCCTCCAGCCAGGTGCAAATCCACGCTCTTACACTTCAAAATAACTCGCCGTTTCAGCCATTTCCCTGCTTTACAGTTTCTCCAGCGGCCCCTCTTCGCCCCTTCCTCAATCGGCACGGAACTGGCAGTGGGGAACGGGGACATGCTTTTCTGCTGGTCAACCAGAGCTTTGTGAGAGCAGAGAGGAGAGCATCTTCCAGTTGGCTCCTGTCACAAGTCGTGGGGCTGGGGACAAGGACCACTTTCTGCAAGGTGGAGGTTTCCACTCTAGCCCCTCTACAGTTCTTGAGGACGTGTCTACACG